AGATATAATCTGGTAGTACTGAAAAAAAATATTACAAAAAAGTACTTTTCAATTTACTTAATAATTATCGTCACCATTGGTTTATTGTTAGCTTTTTTTCCTGTCATGGTAAGATTATATTGCAAGAATGCTAAAAAAGTTTTTAAATAGACTAACAGTTATGGAGAGGTCTATGGATTAAGGAGCTCATATGATATTTGCCTTGTGCTATGGTATAAGCGGGGAACTCCAGTAGCAGCAACCTTTGTCACAGCTTGCTTGATGACCATATTTGTCCCTACGGCTTTCATGTTTTTTGCATATTACAGGTTCGTTAAAACTAATATATTTATAAAAAAAATCAAAAACTTTAGGATTTATCAAAATGTAAAAATGTCAGGAAAAATGCTGAATGATTGCTTTAAAACACAATCAGAATCAAAATGCCTGGAAAAAGGAAGTAGTGCAGATGATTTATCTGAGAAACCCAACAGCAGAAATCAAGTACATTCAGTTCAAACTGTGTTGGAAAAAAAGGTTTTAATGCAAAGTATATCTATATGTTTTTGCTTTCTCATGGGTGTAATAAATTAAATTATCCTTTTTATTTTTTTAACTTTTGCATTTAGTGGACCCCAGTGATGATGATAATCGCATACGAAGTAGTGTTGGGAAAACCAGCACCAGTTTGGTTAATGCATTTGCACACCGCTGGCCCATCCTTTTCTTGTCTTTGTAATCCAATTTTGGTTTACTTTTTTGACATCCAGATGAGAAACACTTTAAAATGTTTTGTATTTTGGAAGTGAGGATTTACTTATATATCATTTCATTTTTTATGATAAGTACCACATTTCTTAATTTTGAAATAAAACATCTGTTAAAAGTATAACTGTTGTTAAAATTTTCCTAATAAAAAATTATTTGTTTACTTCATGAAGTACAAAGAAGTATAATGCAAAAATTGTTTGTTAAGAAATTGGAATGACTTTGTTTTTTTTTTTATTTTATAGAATACTAAAAATGACAATATGAAACTGACAATGTTTATGAGTAGGCTGCCAACTTCATGGACTATTACAATTTTGAAGTTATATTTTTTTTTTGCTCTACCTCAAATTTAAGGTAAAAGTAATTTTTTTAAATGAATTTGAAGTAAGAGATCAAAATTGCATAAACTGGCTTATGTTATTTTCCTTAAAAGAAATCATTCAGGCTACCTGGTATCATATAAATACTGTATATTGTTAGATTTTAAATACATTTTGCAACGAAAAAAAATTAAACTGAACTTAACAAAAACTACCTCTATACTTCATCATTTATTACAGAATATTTCACATTGAGTTATTATATCTTAAATTAAAATCTAATTAAATTACTAATTTTCTGGCAAACACATTTTTTTTAAACTGAATAGGTGTTAAAATTAATAATGTAAATTGACTTTATAATAAAATTTTGTTTTGTTCTAAATTAAAATAGACATTCATCATCAAACAATAATAATAAAATGTGAGTACACATGACGAAAGAAATTAAACCTTAAGCGTAATTTGTGTGGATAAATTTTTAAATTTTTGTAGGATTGATTGGCTAGAAGAATCAATTATAAATTAATAAATGGATATTTCAATAAACGAATTGCCAGAATTTGTGCCATTTACTGATATTACCCAATACCAAAATGCCTACACTCAAACTATACTTCACATTATAGGATTTATAGGTAATTTTGCAAGAATACCTTGTTTTTAATTTTTTTTATAATTAGGTAATTTGTTTCTGACAGCCTCAATTTTATCCTTAACCGAGATAAGTTCTTATAGGCTCAGTTTGCTTGTATACAGTATAAGTGTAAGAAAGAAACAATTATTGAATTCCATTAACTTTTTCTTATATTAATATAAAGGACACTTTGTGCTCTTTAATTCGTATAATTTTTCAACCCATATTTTTTGGACTAATAAACCTAAAAATCTACAATTAGTGATTGTTTTTTCAATAAGTACTATAATTTATAATGGTGTTGGCATAAGTAAGGTGAATTGCGCTTTTATATCTGCACAAACTATATTTTTTTGCTTTGTGTCCCTTTGCAGTTGTTTAGGATTAACTTTTGAGAGATACAATTTGGTGGTATTAAAAAAAGACTTCACCAAAAACTCTTTTGCAGCTTATTTAGCTGCAGTGATAGTTATTGGATTAAGTTTAGCAC